TTTTTACTTTATGCTAGGTACTGCATATTGTCTTCACGGTACCATATAAAGGAATGGATAAGAGCACAGGATCTGAAGAGACATTATCTAGTTTCAAATATCCCGGCTCTGCAACTTTCTACCAATTTGACCTTTAGCAAGTGACTTAATTTGTGCCTTAATCTATAAACAGAAATGACAGTAGTATCTATCTTCCAAGGTGGCTGGAAGATTAAATAACGTGCACAAAGTACTGACTCCGGTGTTGAGGGCATAGCACGTGAGCAATAAACATTAGCAATCATTAATATTACTTGCGGAATGTTCTACTCTACACCTCCAGTGTTTGGTTTCCATTCATCAAAAGAAAAATTGTTATATCCATTAAAATTTTGAGATTTCTTTTGGCCTGGGGCAAAGAATTGGGGTAAGAAGAGTCTTGTACAGAACATTTTGCAAACGGTAAAATATTAACATTCAGACAGCAGCTGGTCTGCAGGTGCTCTAATTAGTTTGACCAAAGGATCCAAGATTATTGATCTCAGTGACAGAACCCTACTGAATAGAGGTTTCCATAGTGATAGACTCAGCAATCACAGACCATGAAATCGACAATGTCTTCACAGATTTCTACTGAGCCAATTCACTTTTAGTGGAAAATACTGTCATTCCCTTGAGATGTATGAGGAAATCCCTGATGGGACACTGCTTGATAATCTTTGATTTAAGACTCTTTGATTAAAAAGAGAAGGGGGACCCCTCCTCAAAGGTAAAGAAAACCAAAACACCCAACCTGGAGTACAAATGAGCTGCTATTTTTCAAATTTAACAGAAAAGAGTTTCTTTTAAAAATAAAGTTTCTTTTAAAAATAAAACTACTGTACAGCAATTAGTAGAATGTCACACTATCACCATTTACATCTTCTAAGAATGAGAAATATTAAAAGAGGAAGAACTCCTTAGGGGACAGGGACTACTTAAAATTAGTAAATAAATAATTCTAAATAACATATTACACAGTTAATTACCCTGATGCATCCACTCTTAATTTCTTGAAAGCAGTTTGTAGACTCTCCTCCTCTCCATCCTTGGCTTCAGATTTCATTGTGAAAGTTTTTACACTACTATAGATGTTCCAGTTAATACTAAAAAAGAAAAATAAGATGAGCAAAGTGAAAACAGGTGCGATCAAAAGCATAGCTTTTGTTAAAAATACATATTCCTGATACCATTATTGTTGGAAGGCAAAAAAAAGCAAATTTTTATGTCTAAAAGGAAGTTTAAGTGTAGATAATTAGGACATTATAGGCTTTAAGAATTGAAATGATACAGAAAATGGATATGTATTATGACAGAATTTAAATTCTCCAAACACCTGATGCCAATATCCTACTATACAATTTTGGAAGCTAGATCACCTGAAATCTATGTTTCAGTATACTTTCTAACAGGGGAAAAAAATCTCCTCAGTTGGTCTAGAAACCTATGGACAAAATGACTTTTACATCAGAAATAAAAGGAAAAAATCTCAAGCTAGAGCACTCTGATTCTTTAGAATGATACTAAATATTTGTCTAGACTAACAATTCCAATTAAGTGTAATTTCATGACACATGATAGGGTATCTCTAAGGCAATCTGACCCAGGTATCAATATTCATGAATACATGTTTTAGAGAATACATGTTTTACCACTGTTAAAGCAGAATTAGAAACTTATTTCAATGATTATTGATTTTAACACTCTGCCAATAAGACTCACTGTTTTTTTTCATAGCTTTGAATACTCTAATTATTAAACAAGAAAGAAAATAAATGAACTAAGTGCAACTCAAACAAGATAGAATTTTTCTTTAGCCAAAAGAAAGAGGTAGAAAGTAAAGAAAAAAAATTACTGTTCTATAGATGCACCTTTAAATGATCTCTTAACTCATTTGCTTAACCAAAGTTTTCCATTTCTTCCACCCTAATTTTTCTATTTAAACAAAGAAAAGGGGATGAAGGACTAACCAAAGTGACAAGGAACACAACAAAGAAGTCTGTTAATAAACCCTTGAATTTAGACTCCAAATTATTTTTCACTCAGGGTAATTAGTAGGTACCAAATCCCAAACAAAAATAAGCAAACCAGTATCTATAAACTTATCACAGGGAATCATGAAGGAAAAAAAAAGTAAAACAAAAAATAGAAGATAGAGAATTGTTGTGCAGAGGATTCACTTCACTTCTTTATTTTAAGCTATTACCCCCAACCCCATCTTCCCACCACCCCATGGCACTCTCAGCAGGAGCAGCAGTGCCTCTGTGGACCCTTGGGTCCTCTCTGATTCCGTATCTGCTCATATCTCAGGTGGGTTTGATGTAATTGTGAGACCGCTACTATTCCAAAGGTCAAAGTGTCATAATTGCAAAATAAAGAGACAAGGAATCAAGATGTTTCACTCCATTTATTTATTTGTATGTAAAGTTAAGGTATTTTAGGCAGAGCTCTCTGAAGAACACTGAAAACAGTCTCAAAAGAATTCAGCTAGCTTTCACCTCAACTTAACACAAAAAATTTAAATACACTCTCCACACATACTTTGCTGGTTTATTTAACTAGTACTTGAACATGAAGACACATTATCCATACTATTCCATACTTCACCAGTCTCTAATTCAATTTACAGCAGGATCCTCTCAAATACACAATAATGTCCTATATACGTGGGGGAGGGGGAGTGAGCAAAGATCACTTATTCTAATATTTCGAAGCGCCACAGCCTCTAAACTGAGTACTACTGCATGTTGTAAACAAATTCTTCCTGCTGCCAGAACTAAAGTTTGATTTATTGTTCTCAAGTACCTTATAACCAGTTAGTCAAATGCTCAGCCCTTAAAGTGTTAAAAAATCATCTAAGCCAGTCTCCCCAACCCACAGACCCCATACAATTCTCAATCCTCTTTAGGCCTCTCTAGAAATCAGTCAATATTTAAGTAAGCATCACATCTAAATATACACTGCTGAATTCTATAGGCAGAAATTCATTCCTTCCACAAATGTTTACAGAATTTCTACCATGAGTGTAGCACTAGATCCTAGGGATAGAAGCCTGTGAACTCCATTTCTGTAAGGACTCAAATTTCATTCCTGACTTCCAGGAGCTGACCCTATAACACTGCTCAGCTCTGCACCCACATATGTAAATTTTAATTATACAGTGCTGACTTAATAGTATGGCTGGTGACCACTCTAAATGTTAATACAAACCTAGTTAACATTCTAAAAGATCTACCATCTAAAAAACAAAAGAGACCGAAATAAACATCTGGCTGCAGACTAAAGCTTTAGAAATGAAGTTCTGTGTAAACATTTTCAGACTTCCAGGATTTTGATTACTCACCTTTTTTTTTCAATTATTTTAACCCAGAGCAAAGGTGAGTCTTAGGCATTGCCTTAAGTACTAGATTAGAGCCATGTTTGTAATTACAAAAAGCTTATGCTCTTCTGTATTCATAGCTTCCCATTCACTCAAAGCAAGAGCTGCACAATTCATTCCACACAACAGATACAATTGGTTTGTCCTTCTTCATTAACATCAAAATTGTGGGAGACATTCTTGCCGTTTTCACCGCTTTGACTTCTGGTTGAACTAATCCCCTAACAGAACTTTTAAAGGCCTATTAGAAGTTACTTTGTATTGTTTTAAGTCAAATCCCACAGGGCAATTTAACTTTGCCTCGGATTTTCCCCAACCTTCCAAAAAAGGTAAGTTCTTCTAAGTTTCTCCATCAATAGGGCAAATTCCTGGTTTTGTCTTTCTACGAATAGTATATGTCACAATCTTATTTACACCTTGCCATTTTAACCAGGACCTCCTTGAACCTCAAGCTTATTAGGTCTACATTTCCAGGACCCTTAAAAGACCTGAGAACGACAAATAAGGGATCCGCGCGTAAGCGTGTCATCACAATGTTAAAGACTTCAAAACTTTCCCAGACCAGCAGGAAACGTGGAGTCTGGGAAACAAAACCCGGCCCACCAACTCTCGAAGAGGTAAACAAGACCGGGCTGAAACAATCGGCTTCTAGGACAAAAAACACATTCACATCTCTGCACACCCACTCACACTCACAGTACTACAGCCGAAACACCATGTTAATTCTTTTCACGCAGAATCAGGACCTGTCGCGGCTAAACAGGATCATGAGAAAAGGTCCAAACTTGGGGGGACACGGAGAGGAGGGACAACGCCGAACGGGGAGCTGTCCAGGGGCTCTGCCTGCCCGGGGTCTCCAGTGGGAAAGCTGCGCACTCAGGAGAGTCCCCCGGCCAGAATGAGTGGCTGGAGTAGGGCCAAAGCTCAAGGGATGCGGGAGGAGAAAGGAGTGAGGCCGAAGAGGCAGCCAACGAGAATGGGGCTCAGAGGCAAGCGGGAAAGGGCGGGAAGGGGCAAAGGGCGGCCGAGGAAGGCGAAAAGGGAAGCTACGGCCGCGCGGGAGACCGCAGAGGAGCGGGACGGGGCGGGGGCCGCGGGAGGACAGGAGAGCGGGCAGGGGAGAGAGGCGGCTCGGGCAGGTCCAGGCCGCAGAGGATGAGGGGGCGCGGAGGGGCCCAGGCCCGGCCCAGGCAGTGGGCGCCGGGAGACGGCGCGACTGGAGGCAGGCGGGCCCAGGGGGAGCCGCCCGCGGCCAGGCCGGGCGTGGAGGCCGAGACGCGGTGCCGCGGCCCCTCCCCATCACGTCAGGACACTCACCTCCTCGCAGCTGGGGCGCTCCGGTGACCCGGTCCCGTCAGTTCAGATCGTCTCTTCCCCGATCGCGGCGCCTGACTGACCCGGATCCAAACCCGCGGAGGGGTCGGCCCGCGCCTCCGGAGTCGCACTGCGCCTGCGTCACTCTGGCACGCACCGCACCCCCTGCTCATGCTCCTCCCACCCCAGTGAGTCGGCGGCGCGGCAGGCGGCGGCTGCGCAGGCGCGGGGCGGTGGCGGCGCCTGGCAAACGCCCGGCACCCGCCCTCTCGGGAGCACGTGCGCCGTACGTCACTTCCTGTTATTCTTTTCTCTCCCTACTCCCTCCCGCGTGGTTCGCTCTGGACCCGCATTTGGGGCGTGTCTGCTTCCTCCTCCGTGTCAGGTGAGTGAGTGGGCGTTATTTTTCTCAGTCGCCGACTACCTCCACTTCCCCGGGGTCTCCTGGTGCTTAGTCCTCTACCTGGAGTCACCTAGGCAACGGAATTCGGGGATGAGGACGGGATCTGGAGTCTTTATCGCAGTCTAGCCCTGTCTAACGCGGTTGGCTTGATGCTAGAATCTGGACCGCCTGCGACCTCTCCCGGGCTCTGACAGCAGCCCTCTGCTCCTAGCATCTTTCGGGTCCTGCACGGAAGCGAGGAGGTGTTGGATATGGCCAGGACCATGAATGTGAGGCCGGAATTGGGGTTGAATTGAAATGCTCGCTTTTGATGTCCCTGTTGTTTGTCTTGAGGCAGCTGCTTTTCTCCCTCTGGGCCTCAGTTTCTCCATCTTGTATGTGAGAAAGTTGGATTGTATCAGCGAGCGAATCTCTCTTTTTCAGCCGTACACTCCTTTGAGAATATGGTGAGAACTATAGATCCTCTAACCAGAGAAATGCGCCTACACACCGAATTTCGCAAAAAGATTTAGGCAGTTCACCTAAGTAGGTGATTTTTTAGGGACCTTTTCATTTCTGTGATTCTGAAGGTTGCTCAAATGGCAGGCAGGAAAGGGTGATCTGTGCAACCAGCTTCCACCTCCTCCATCACCAGGACTGGTTCTGTTGATCTAGTTCTGCCTCTCCTCGCCTGCCACTCCCCTGCTCCACGTCTACACTTCTCAAAGCTTCGTGGGAAAAGATGGCTTTCCTCAGTAGAGGTTGCTAGCGCTACTTCTGGCCCAGCCCTAGAGTAAGGACTTTTCCAGGAACCAAAACGGGCCCCTCCCACCCCTTTTCTCAATGCCTTAGGTATAGTTAACTAACTAGATAGGCTGCCAAAGATAGTTTAGCTTTGTCCAGCCTTGGAATGCCTGGCCTGTGTCTGGAAATGAAATCTGCAACTTATTGTATGTGGTTGTTAAATATAAAGCACTTAGTCCTGGGTAAAGCATTGAAAATTTTTTTTATTCATGCCAGAGGCTCAATAACTGGCAGGGGTGAAAGAAAACTATTAATTGAACTTAATTACAATAATAATAATGGCTGTCCTCTACTGACAAGCAGTTATGTACATATTCTTTCATTTAATGCTCCTGTGATTTTACACATTCTGCAGATGAGGATGACTGGGACTCAGTGAGATTAGATACCTTGTTCTAACTTGTCTTGTGTCACACAGTGCTTTTAAATCAGAATTTAAACTGTCTCAAAAGCCTGTTTATCAGTGTTTGCCCTTGTCAACAATTTCTTGGAAAAGAATAAGAGAGAGGAAAATATGATTTTTTTCTCAGACCTTGCCAAGTGAATTGCATCAAGATTAAATAACGTTTTAAGCTGCCATTTCAAAATATAACTTCAGATAAAATCTCATACATCCTCAAGAGCAAGGACTGTGTGTAGATCGCTATTGAATTCCCAGATCTTAAAACGTTCCTGGGGGCTAGTAGATGTACAATACAATTTTGGTGAATTGTCATTTTACCTGATTTCCACCTGTTATAACATTAAATACTAATATCTAGAAAGTTCAAGTGTTTCAGTTTTTGTAAGCACATCTCCATCATAAAGTTATGATGGAGAATACGACTCATTACTCAAGGAGTACTTGGAAGATGAGAGTCTCTTGGGAATACAAAGTCTCTTAGCTCACACACCTGACATGGCCTGAAGTTTTAAGTCATCATTATACATAGGATTGGTTCACTGTGTGGTACCTCATGACTTGGAATGAGTTAGAGAAGCTGCAAAACATGTGATCTGAGTGAACAGAAGCCAGACCTGCCTCCTGTTCCAGCAACACAGGATCATTCTAGCCATGGGAAAATACCTGAACTTGTGTGTGGACTTTACAGGAAATTATCTTGGTATTAACTTAAGTACATAGTAATGCCATTTAATTTAAAAGCTATGGTAGACATAACATTCCTCTAACAGTGTTTCCTTCTTGTTACAGGGGTCTTATAAGTAACTGAATAGAAACTTAATTCCATCATTTATACTGTAAAAGCAATCAATTTATATAGGAAGATACGTTTTTGTTTTAAAATATAACTTTGAAGAAGACAAGTTCACAGTCTTTTTTTTTTTTCCGGCATATTATGGGGGTACACATTTTAAGGTTTCAATAAATGCCCTTCCCCCCCACACACAAGTCTGAGTTTCCAGCATGACCATCCCCCAGATGGTGCACATCTCACTCATTATGTATGTATATACCCGCCCCCCGCCCCCCTTCCAATACCCTATTACTGTAGTACCTATGTGTCCACTTAGGTGCTGCTCAGTTAATACCAGTGTGCTGGTGAGTATATGTGGTGCTTGTTTTTCCATTCTTGGGATACTTCACTTAGTAGTATAGGTTCCAGCTCTAACCAGGAAAATATAAGATGTGCTATATCACCATTGCTTCTTAGAGCTGAATAGTACTCCATGGTATACATATACCACATTTTATTAATCATCTTGATTGATGGCACTTGGCTGTTTCCACAGCCTTGCAATTATGAATTGTGCTGCTATAAACATTCGAGTACAGTGTCTTTTTTTTTTTTTTTTTTTTTTGTAGAGTGTCATTGGATCTTTTGGGTAGATGCCCAGTAATGGGATTGCTGGATCAAATGGTAGATTCACTTGTATTGCTTTAAGGTATCTCCATATGCTTTCCACAGAGGTTGAACTAGTTTGCTGTCCACCAGCAGTGTAGGAGTGTTCTCTCTCTCCACATCCACGCCAGCATTTATTGTTCGGAGACTTTTTGATAAAGGCCATTCTCACTGCAGTTAAATGATATCTCATTGTGGTTTTGATTTGCATCTCCCTGATGATTAGAGATGTTGAGCAAGTTTTCATATGTTTGTTGGCCATTCTTCTGTCTTCTTTAGAAAAGTTTCTGTTCAAGTCTTTGCCCACTTTTTAATAGGATTATTTGATTTTCTTGCTGATTTTCGTGAGTTCTAAGTATTCTAGTTATCAGTCCTTATCGGATGCCATAGGATGCAAAATTTTCTCCCATTCTGTAGTTGTCTGTTTACTTCATGACTATTTCTTTGGCTGTGCAGAAGCTTTTTAGTTTGATCATGTCATTTATTTATTTTGTTGCTGCTGTGATTGCCTTGGGGACTTCTTCATAAACTCTTTACCTAGGCCTATGTCTAGGAGAGTGTTTCCAACATTTTCCTCTAGAATTCTAATAGTTTCATACCTTAGGTTTAAGTCTGTTATCCAGCGTTAGTTGATTTTTGTGAGAGGTGAAAGGTGTGGGCTTTGCTTTAGCCTTTTACAAGTGGCTATCCAGTTTTCCCAGCACCATTTATTGAAAAGGGATTCTTTTCCCCAGTGTATGTTTTTGTCTGCTTTGTCAAAGATTAGATGCCTATATGAGGATGGTTTTATATCAGGATTCTCAGATCTGCTCCACTGGTCACTATTCCTATTTTTGTGCCAATACCAAATTGTTTTAATTACTACAGCTTTGTAGTATAGTTTGATATCTGGCATATTAATACCTCCCATTTTGTTTTTGTTGCCTAGAATTGCTCTTGATATTCGGGTCTTCTTTGGTTCCATACAAAGCATAAAATTATTTTTTTATATCTAAGTTCACAGTCTTTAATTTATTTCCCTACCAATGTGGCTGCCATCCTGCCAGTTGGTAATCTGGAAAAGCAGTCTTATTTTTTAAGGCTCAAATAATTTAATTTGTTCTTTACCTTGATATAATTTTTAAAATGCCTTTGGGATAGATAGAAGGTAGTGATAAAAATTATGATTTGTGTATGATTTACAACTGTTCATTTAATCAGCATAACCAACTTGTGAAACAGATACTTTTGTTATGTCCTGAAGAAACTAGGTGGAGAAACTAAGGCTCAGAGCAGTTAGATAAATTGTCCAAGGTAACACAGCTTGTAAGTGGCAGAACACGGATTCTAATCTGAGCAATCTGACTCCACACCACCTTCCTGATTGCTGAGTCACGCTGCTCTTCTTAGCCTACCCACACCCACCTCCCATACATACCCCGCTAGACCAGGGACACCTGCTTTCACCCTGGAAACACCAGTGGGCTTGAGGAAATTAGCTGCCCAGGGCCTGGCACTGTGTTCCAGCCACATTTGCCTTGTGTGTCTTTGAACCTACCAGGCATATTTCCCTCTCAGGTCTTCTACATTTGGTATTTTCTTTGCAAGGACAGTATTTACCCACAACTCATCTTTTCATTGGAATCCCCGCTCACATCATCTCCCCAGAGGGGCCTTCCCTGGCTACCCTAGCAGCGCCATCTACTCTGTAGCCCTTCCCCCTGCTTTGTTTTCGTGATAGCACTTACCACTGCCTGACAATGTCTGTTATTATTTGGCCCCCTCACTGGAATAGAAGCTATCTGAGGACAGGGAGTTTATCTCTTTTCTTTATCACCACTTTTTAAATTGAGTCTAAGCTGCACATTTTCCCACAACTTAGCACTCTTAAAATCTGGATGTGTTTTACCGTGTTTCCCCGAAAATAAGACAAGGTCTTATATTTATTTTTTCTCAAGAAGACACCCTAGGGCTTATTTTCAGGGGATGTGTTATTTTTTTTAAGTATGGTACAACAATCTACATTTATTCAAATACAGTTAAGTCGTCTTCTTCTAGAACATCATCATAACTCTCCAAATCCCAAATTCCATCCTGAATTTCTTGCAACTCTATTTCCTTTAGAACCATTGGCCCCAATCTCTCATGTCGAGCTCTAGAGCTCTCATGGGACAGATGAGAAGGGCTGCTCGTCTTCTTTACCGCCCAGCGACAAGATGCATGGGTTGTGCAGATACGCTGTGTAGCCATACCCATCACTACTTCTTATTTTGGGGGTAGGGCTTATATTGCACCAATGCTTAGAAATCCTGCTAGGGCTTATTTTATGGATAGATCTTATTTTCAGGGAAACACAGTATAATCTGCAGTGTGTCCTGG